CCGGCGGCGAAGGCGTCGCCGATCAGCGCCATGCCGCGGCGCGAATCGGTCACGCGCGGGTCGCGCAGCAGCGCATCGGTCTCCGCCACGCTCGTGACCGGTGTGAACGGCAGGCCGGCGGCATGGCCCGCGTAGGTCTCGCTGGCGAACAGGCGCACCTGATGGCCGCGCTGCTGCAGCGCCAGGCCGAGGGCGACGAAGGGCAGCGTGTCGCCCAGGCTGCCCACGGCGGCGATCAGGATCTTCACGGCGTCTGCGTCGCGGGCCGGCGGCCGGTGCTTGTCATCCCTCGGAAGGCGCCTGCGGCTCGGCGGCGACCACCACGCGCGGCTTCTCCGGCCACGCGCCACCCGCGCTGAACGCGGCCCACGCCCAGCCCACCCACTTCAGCAGCGACACCGCCAGCCACAGCGCCCAGCCCAGCATCAGCACGCGGTACAGCCACACCGGCGCGCTGACGACCCAGGCGCCCGCGGTGTGCTCGGTGAAGCGGTCGGACAGCCAGTTTAGCGCGTGGCTGCTGGACCCCGGCCCGGCGACGAGCAGGTCCGGGTAACCGAGCAGGCCGGTGCGCAGCACGTCCAGCAGCACGCCGATGGCGAAGCAGGTCCACAGCACCAGCAGCAGCTGCACGGTGATGCGCAGCCAGCGCCGCCCGCCCTGGCCGTTGTGAGTCATCCAACGCCGCCGCGCCTCCAGCGCGCCGAACCAGCCGGCCAGCAGCGCCAGCGCCCCCAGCGACACGGGCGCCACGCCGAGTGCCAGGATGAGCCAGGCCGGGCGGCCCATCAGCCCCGGCACGCCGCGCGGCGCGAACCAGGCCAGCACGAGCACGACGACGAGCACGCCCCAGATCAGCACGGCCGGGCCGATCAGCGGGCCGCCGACGGCGAGCACGATGCGGTCCTGCGGCACGGCCAGCTGCAGCGCGTCGTTGACGCCGGGCAGGCCCAGCGCCAGGCCCTCGTGGCGCCACAGCGTGCCCATGCCCACGGGCTCGCGCCAGCGGATGGCCACGGCCTGCGC